GTCATTGACCTTTGATGACCTCGGTTCACTTTTTCGAGTTTTACATGTTTCTAGGCCAGTTTTTGGAGCTGAATTCGAATTTAGCAACCATATAAACATTAACGAAGTAGTTTTGGTGCCTTCGTAACATGTTACGAAGCTGTCAAAGGCGGTTGCCACCTACTACGAATACCCTTACTGGTTGACCTGACCTGACCTGACCCGACCTGGCCTGAATACATGAAGACATCATCTGTGATCAAAACTAGCATGATATTCGTGATCAGCACCCCGAAAAACCCCATAGTAGCCACACTTTACGACGTTCTAACAGGTCCCGATTTTCCCGCCTGTGGGGTCATTGACCTGACCTGCAAGGTCAACTAATGACCTAGGACCTTAAAATTGGGTATCATCGGCTTCCTCTCGTCACGGGCAACACGCTCGTTTTTTCCGCGAAGCTCTAGCTCGATCAGGGGCGAAACGGCAAGGGGGGTCCAACGGACCCCCCCCCCCTTATACGTTCGCGGCTGGAAAAACACCAATACGGGCGAGGGTTAAGTTTGACGTCATCTATCAATTACAAATTTGATTTTTTTGTTTAATATCGATTCTCTACCCGAAATATTTGAAAACCCATCCTATGTGAATTATCAACGGAAGTAAATGTAAATGATCATGAGAGCAGCAATGTTGCAATGTTTGCTGCGAACATAAATTTCCAGAAGCCTTTCTATTAAGCAGCTAACGCTGCTTAATCAGTCATTAAGCAGCTAACGATGAAAAGAAATGAGGACAGAAGCTGTCAGACTCGGGCTGGCCCAGTCCCAAACACCTCTTCTTGGCTCAGTCTTCCCACCTCTGTGTCTCAGCTCGCTCTCAGGCCGCGACAGTCCATCTCTCCTGTCTCCGGTTGTGGGGAAGCGGAGCGACCCTCCGTGTGCCGTGCTGAGACAATGCAGCCGCCGGGCGGACGTCGGGCCATTAGAGTTGGTCTGCGCTGCCGGCTCTCTCGGCCGCCTGATAAGGCCCGGGCAGGGACGGCACGAGCAGCAAACAATGAACAATCGCCCCGCCCCGCCAGTCGTCCCCCCTGGGACAATGCCGCGGCAGGGCCGGCGAGCAGCCATCATACAGAGTGGCCCGATCACAACACCGGCAAAAAACCAACGTCCGCAAGCTGGCCGCATGGCTTAAAGGAAAAGGCGGTACTGTTGTCATGGCTTATGGAAGGGACGGTCTCGGTGACAGGGCTGGTGGAAAAGGCGGAATCCTCGCCTGGCTCGATGGTGTTCGGCTCTGGTGATCGTCATCCTTCAGAAATGGGGGCATGAGAAACCTACATGCATTTGCCTGTGCCTCGGAAGTCGGGAGGCGGGGTACCGAAAGCGTGGAAGGGAATGGTACCTATGGGCTATGTTTTCAGGCATCTTAATTTTGTTCTGACACATATGCGCTAGAAATAAGCAAAATTTCGCATTGCATGGATTGCATAGCGTAGCATTGCACAAAAATAGTTGTTTCGGAAGCATACCCGACCTGCATGCGGTGCGTAATGTGATGTGCCGTCTGCTCCGAGCTGAGTCTGCCCTGAAGTGGTAGGCTGTTCCGCAACACAGGACTGTCCTGCGGGACAGTCTATATGGTGGCCGCTCAGCGTAGTTTTCAGGCATCTTGATCTGCTGGATGTGTCGTGGCCCGGTGGGAACTCAATAGGCGGTCATAAGCATTTTGCACTGTTGGTATAATCCCTTTCAGGCAATCAAGACCATTTTTGCCCTTCGGAAAAACCATTTCGGCCCCTTGGAGTGGGAGGTAGGAGCGGAGGGGAAGATTGGCGGAATGTAGCGATCAGCAGCGGGCGTCCCGCCGCGCCGGGTGGGCTCAGCCCGTCTCGAGACAGACCACCAAAGATTGCCCCAACAGGACCCTTTCGGCAGCCTCCTACACTGAGGAATAGCCGCACCCGCCTGAAACAGGGTCACTGATCAAGGGAGGGATGGGTACTTGCTGAGGACAAAAAAGACCGATGAGTTATCATCTAACGAGGAAAGGATGTTGGCGGTCTTCCCGGCCTGATCCAGGTTTTGGTGGAGCTCGCACTAAGGCCGAGTTCCCCGGATGTGGCTGTCACGGGACACTGGGCACGGTACGGTGGTTACCTGTGGCGCGCGGACGATATAAACCAGCCAGTCGTGACATCTGAGGATCTGGAGGGCTGCCGAGAGCCGAGAGGCGGCTGACAGTGTGCAAAAGTGCGACTTGATGTGTGACTATGAGTAATAGCCTCACCTTACATCACCTTACCTCACCTTACATTACCTCACCTCACCCTACCTTCACTTTACCTCACTTCACCTCACTTCATCTCATTTCACCTCACTTCTATTATCAAACTCACGTTTAACCGTCACCTTTACTTTGACGGGTGCTGTCAGGCCCCCGAGAAACCGAGACCCTCTCAAAAATAGATCCTTCAGTGCTACCCCTGCTAAGCAGACTGGTTTTTGGTTCACCTTTTTCGGATCGATTCAATCATTGATTCATTTGATTTTTGTTTGATTCAATCACCGTTTGATTCCTTCAAAAAATTTGGTGAATCGATTCCTTTTGATTCAGAGAATCAAAAAACAATAAAAGGAATGTTTCACGTTTGATTCAGCCAATTTTTTTTTGAATGATTCTTTTTTGATTCAATTAAAAATAAAATATACAAAATATCAGGGATAGTATTGTATTTGTTGTGTTCTTTTTGTGGTCATGTAATGGCAGTAGTGATTGTTGATAATGAACTATGTTCGTTCACTTCATTTTTTTTTAAGTTCATGAATCATTAATATTTTTGATTCAATCAACCCTGATTCCCAATGCGTTTGATTCAATCATGACTTGTGAATCAAACAATCCTGACGGTTAATCAAACCTTTTTGATTCAACAAATTTTGTTTGATTCAATCCAATCGATTCAATCACAGATGAATCAAACACCAGTCCGCTGCTAAGGCACCTGTGAGACGGGTGTAGCCACTAGCCACTGCTAAGGCCCATTTAACAGACACACTCCGAGCTATAAACGCTGCTAAGGCCCCTCTGTGACAGATCCACTCCCTGTTATAACCACTGCTAAGGACCTTGTGTGACAGGCCCCTACCCTGTTATAACCACTCCGCCGAACGTTTGAAGCCCGGCCACGGTATTTGACCCGTCACAACACACGTCCGGCCATGTTTGCACGGTAAATGGTCCGCTATTGTGTGCCGGCGGGCTGGAGTGGAATTAGTAGCCGTGAATCAGAGAAAGGTCGGCTCCACACGACGGCAGAGCTGTCGCCCTGTTTATTCTTGTGATAGGGTAATGCAGGTCCCTGTCCAGTCCCATCCGTTACTGGTTCCTGTGGCCGGGACTCTGTGGGCTGTATTTAAATGCAACGATCGGTCGCCTGCCAACACTTTATGCTCCATGCCAAACATTATTCAAATACCCTTTTGCACCGTATGTAATGTAAGGTTCGCTGAACCGGAAACATTCCATGCATACAACTATTGGAATCGCCCACGAACGTATTTCTACGCCCAGTGCCGATAATATTGGGTTCCGCGGCGCAATTTTCCTCGGCATTCGCCAATTAATGTCAGAATGTTCATGGAAGTCAGAGCCCAGATTCCTACCGAATTCCGCCATCACACCCATCCGTGCTCTCCAATTATTTCTCTGGTAATTGCTTGAACCTTACTGGCACTATCACACAGGCAGAGAGCAATCCAGACCAAGTATTGATACCGCCTTAAATGATTTCCCTTTTTTGCCACAAGCTAGTAGCTGTCGCAGCGCTGCTGGAAAAAACATCGATAACAAGAACACAATGCTATAACAAACACTTACTACGCTACCCTATTCAGTTTTTGAATATGCGCTAGGGAGGAAGATGATATGTTTCTCTAGGGGTGTTTCTCGATCTTCCTGCAGCGTTACAGCCGAGACGATTGTCCTGGTGACGTCCTGGTCCTGGTCACAACAAAAACAAACAGCGAAAAAAGCGAGAATTCACTCTAAATCAAACTATGTATTCTTACAAGTAAAAATAAGTGACTAGCAAATGCTTATATCTACAGAGCTTTGCACCCTCTCATAATAAATCTTTGGCTCCATGCCCGGCTCGATCCTTTATCGCTGATAATCCGGTCGGATTTTCCTTGTCGGCTCGCCTCGAGCATCGGCTCCGCTCCTCCGTCAACCAGCTGTGACCTTATCTGGGGCCATTAACTGCAGTCTGAACAGCCGTTATGGTTATTGGTTAGGGCCCGCGTTTAATCCGGTGCACGGCCGACATTGTTTATGGGAGCGGCGGTCGGTCCGTCTCCTCCAGCGGCCGCTGGCCGTCCCGGTATCGACACGGCGCCGCTGGGACGCCCGGCCGGCCGCCGCCGCCCTGTGCTTCAGAGAGCGAGCTGCATTACAGAGTGCAGTCGATTGAGGGCCTCTCTGGAAGCGTCCAGTGGCGCTCAATGCGCTCGGCAACAGGCTAATAAGCGGTCAATGGCCCTAGTGCCGACAAATGATGGCGACGCGTCAGGCGACGCCCTTGGCAACATAGTCACGATACGGCCCTGTTTTACGGCTAACTAGCGCTCTAATGAACTACTTTTTGGCTCGTGTAATCCATTTAGTGTGAGTCGGGCTAGAATGATAAGCGCGATGTGGAGCGACAAACGTCTAGGCAATGGAAAATCACGACCCATCTGTTGGGTGTTGAGCAATCTGACGTTCTGACCTCCAGACAGATGTATTTATAGCTCCGACGTGGAGACGGGACTCATACTCATCCATCCCGCCCAGCGAACCGGCTGCAAATCGTGTCGAATGGCGATGCCTTTCGTCCCCAGCCAATTGGAGTGGTATTGGACTGATCAGTGATCAACGCGCCACCACCCGGGCGGAGCTGTGAGCTGCAGCTCGGAATGTGGCCGCCAGGGGTGACGGTGTCGCTACCATCGCGCTGACCTGGGCGCCCTCTGTTTCAGACGTGGTCACCTGCGGCGCCGCGGCGCGCTGAGGTCGCCGCCTCACCGCCCTGAGCAAAGAATCAAACCGTGAACAGCCACCGTCCGCCGGGAGCATGGAGCGGTCGGCCATGTCCCCGCTGTCGCCCTGCGGCCGGCAGGGCTCCACCGAGAACCTGCTGCCGCCCGAGGACACGCCGCCACCGCCGCGGCAGCGGCCCGTCATCACCACAGAGCCGGCCGATGACGTGCGAGCCGTGCCGCTGCTGACGCTGCCGCCGCTCTCCGGAGAGCCGTCCGGCGGCCAGGAGGGCGCCGCGCGCAGCTTCCCCGACATCGAGCTGCACTGCCGGCGCACCTACCTGTGTCCGCAGACGCTGGCGCGCCGCCGCTGCTCGTGCATCAACATCCACCGGGTGGGCTCGCGCGACTCGGTGTGCTCGGTGGTGGGCGCGCGCGGCGGCGGCCCGGCCGCGCTCGGCGCGCCCTCCACCAGCCGCGACAAGATCGTGCGCCAGCACTCTCAGCCGGAGACGTGCACCTCGTGCCACCACCCCCGCTCAGCGGCCAGCCTGCGCCAGCTGCACTGCCACGACTCGGGCCGTGGCAGTGAGTTCGCCGAGATCGCCGCCGACTCGCTGAGAATCAACGGCGCCATCCGCCAGTTCCGACACGTGAGTGGCGCTGTGGGACTGGGGATGGCTGGGCACTGCCCGGGGGAAGGAGAGGTGACTGGGAGCTAGTTAGGGGAGGGGACAGATGACGGCTTTGCGCTGACTTGGGAGGGGCAGGGGACGACTGCGCACTAGCTGGGGGGGGGGGGGAGTAACCGCTACTCTCGAAAAAAAAATGCATCGTGTAACGTGCGTGTATTGTATTTGGGCTCTGCTATTTACATTCTGACCCGGGACCCCTGATGGAAAATAGTTTATGCACTAGAAAACAATACAACATCGATGGTCGCTATATCAGAAGGCAGCCTGACAAGAACGGTGCCATCGACCGCTGCTTCATCCGCCGGGGAACTCGCGTTATTGAGTTGAGAGTTGACGGTAGTTCGTATGTTCTACAAGACATCCTGTTCCGTAACAAGATTTTGCCACTTTGGCCAATAGTTAGGTCCCGGTAGTTGCACGTCCTGCATTATTGCATAAAATGTTTGAACCGTGCTGGACAGAAGAATGTGAATGGGTTGGTCCTGGTGAGAGGGAGGAAACTGTTTAAACCATTGTATGGTACTATTTTGGCTGGGGATTTGACCTTTAGCTATTCGAAGTTCTTTTATCGGTCAAAGTAGTTGCGTCTATTCTTTCTTCTTTTGAAGCATGTTTGACATTTGCAAACATTGAATTTAGCATTCTGGAGAATTTTTTGATGCGAACCTTGAATTTCTTTGGTAAAGCCATGATCGGAACATATTCAGGTACTCTGCTGGCCGTAGTTGAAACTAAACGTACCACTGACTTCGAAGCAGGTGGCAGCACCATCAATGTTCGGGCTAGTGCTGGAAAAAATCTTGCTACCATCTTTATCAATTATTGTTATTCTCCTCATTCACTATCAGCACCGATTACATAGCTAATGTTTTTGATTACGGCTCCACCTGTCCGTGCTTCTATCCTCAGGACACTGAAATCCTTCTCCTCCACGCCACAACCCCCTTCCGGGCTGGGCAGGCAACTTTATCTCATGCGGGCTGCTCCCTTGGAGCGGCACCGCTGCTCCTGAGGGAGCGCACCCCGTAGCCGGGTGTAGTGAGTGCCTTGGGGCTGGGTGGCCTGTCCTCTGGACGGGCTCAGCCCCGGCGACTCACTAGGGTGCCTGCCCAGACCAATGTCTCCCCCTAATTCCTATCATCCTTCCGGCTCTGCAATGGTCTTGTCGACCGAAAGGGCCTAACCCAACAAAACAAAACAAAACAAAATTACGGCTCTGTGGTTTTGTTTGGAGCGTTTTTTTTTTCGATTGGGTGATCACTGCTCGCTAGCTTCCGCTGCATTCTGCAGCCGGTAATATGACATTGCACTCCTGCTGGCTGGCTCTGTTGGAGCAGATGACGAGCGTAGATGCAGCAATTGGAAGTCAGGAAGGGCTATCTGCACCATCGCTGGCTATAGTCATTATAACATTCAGAAGCAACCAAAGCCAACGCCTTTCCACAGTGGCGCAGCCAGAACTCCATGGAGACGGGGGTGAGAGACGTTCGCGATGGGCCCCCCCCCCCAGCAAAGTGGGCCCCCTCAACCAAATGGTGGCCCTTAACAACAACGAAAGCGGTCGCTGTTTTGCCGAATTTTTGGAAACTCGCAAAACCATTTGAATATCATTGAATATGAGTTTCTGATTTTAAACTTTGTTAACACTCTGAGTCTGATCTGTGGTCAGCCCGGTCAGGTCAGATCTTTGTCCTTAACATTACCAGCCAAATCGGGGGAAAAGGACAAATAGCTCGTGATCTGAAGAGGCACGTCAAAACAACAGCATATTTACAGAAACACGACCATTTCTGCCCATATTTGATGGACAGCGCAATTCATGACCTTGATCTGCGGTCACGTTTTGAAGTTGAACTTTTTATGTGAATTATAGGTAGCTCATTCGATGCATGTTGACGAGGAAAACGATGACAAAGTAAAATGTAAATGTCTCAGTTTTTCTCACCAAAGTTGTTGCAAAATTCTTAGCAAAATTTTTGTGGTAAAATGTGACTATTTAGATGGATTTGCCCTCTGCTCTGTTGCGAAACCGTTGACAAGAGCCATTGAGGTCAAATAATAAAAGCGAAAGCGTTTTGAAAGGCCTATCGAATGAGTTGTTCGCGAAGCTGTATGTTGTAACTCATCGCGAAGCAGATGAGTTGCTCTTTGGTTCACGAGTTATACGGTCATTTGTGAAAGATATAAAAAACAATAATTTTTTCTTCGTAATCTTTTCTTTGTGTTTATCATTTTTATCATTACTTTATCTTCAACGACCTCAGCGATGACCTAATCGAAAAATGACCTCTACGATTCTGAAGCATCCTACAGCTATCCGTTGCTTTTTCTCGTCTTTCTAGCCTTCTTAAATTTTGTTAGATGATCGGGTTTGGCCGATACGCCCCCCCCCCATGGCTGATTGCGCGCGTTAGAGAGCTATCAAACCCACTTTCAGCGCGCTATAGCTTTATATGTCCTCGAGTGTCGAAAAAGGCGAAACTTTTCCTTCGATGAACATGACGACGTGGGCTTTGGTCTGAACTGCAACATGACTGAAGTAATTCTCATGATTTTCAACGCTCTTTAGAAAGCCGCCTACCACCGCGCTTGTCGCTACGTGACCCTGGAGTCAGGTTAGAAGTAGAGGTGGAAATGAATATTAGTCATTAGTCAAAAATTAGTCGACTAACGTTAGTCAAGCACTTTTTTAGTCAGTCAAAAGTCAGTCAACCAAAATGTTTGTTAGTCATTAGTCAGTCATTAGTCAATGATTTTGTTGCATATTAGTCGACTAATTTGTCGTGATTCGTGAGGTGACTTAACCATCGCCCTGACAGGGGAGGGGTCGATGCGACCCCCCCCCCCTGAGTTGTTTTTGCGATGCGCGCTGAACTATTAGTCGGATCGTGCTGAAATTTTCAATAGCTCTGGGGTATCCTTTGCACAACTTTGCTAGACAAAAAAATTGGGTCATGTCAGTTCACCGAGCTATGACGTCATAATAAGTACAACCTCCCACCGTTTTGACAAAATCGTACATACCGTAACTGGACGTGATCTCATCGACAAGAACGAAGCTGTTCCGTGTGGTTTATGTCAGAATTTGACTGGACATGATCTTTACATTGTATATTGACCTTTCTAAGGTCAACCAAGATGATCTCGCATGTTCACACGCTGACCTCCGTGATATGAGATGTGTTTAGTGTCCGTAGTGGGGTTTCTTTTTTTTAATTTAAAAGTTGCACTACACAGGTCAAGGCACACATGGCACCACCGCGGGACCGGTCTTTGCGGCACTGCTCCAACAGCGAACAGGCAACCAAACAAGTCAGAGTGAGCAAAACAGCGAGGCAAGGTCCGGGTGAAACGTTCAACACAAGATAAGGATAACAACACTGCAAAAAATACAAATTATTTAACAAAGCCCAGAGGTTTACATTTATCAATACAGAACAGTTTTTATATCAACTTTTAACAGCTATCAATGACTATCAACCATCAATGACACCGGCGATGCAGCGAGCGACGCCGGCGGAAGACGCGCCGGCGGCGACTCGGCCAGCCCGGTCACCGGGGCGATCGAGGCGGCGGCGGCGTGACTGGAATCTCTACTATTTTCTACTTTGTTTTGCTCCTTTCACACGTCACATGCAAGACAAAACAGCCGCTAGTCCCTTCCCGCGACCGGCGAGCTCGTGACCTTGGGGATCATCCGGGTGTTTGTGGCATGTTTGTTTTATAAATATGTGTATATTTATGTATACTGTATACTATGTATTTATTGTATGCATTTTATGTATGTATTTTTAAGTGTTTTTACGTTTCTATTCCTCATGCAGATCAGCCTACATCATGCAATGATGCAAACTGATCTCACATGAGATGCAAATTGCATGAAGATACAATTTACATGCCCACAAATGCATGCAAATGCATGCATTTGCAGGCAAGAGTGCTGCAAGTGTGCAACTGTGTTATGGATTGACGTACAAAGATTTGTGTAAAAAAAATATACGGCAGTTAATGTGCATCGTTTTGTACGACGATACTTTTTAGTCTTCCCCACTTTTTCTCGAATTCTATTGTTTGTTTATGCGATTAGCTGCTTGTTGTTCTATTTCTACAACAATTTTCAGTTTGTTTATTAGGTGTGTCACCTCTGGTGTGATATTTCGTAACCTTGCTTCATATGACCATTTTGCTAAAGCCAATATATGTGTCTGTTGTGGATTTGCATCGATTAGGAAGAACCAAGTTTTGCTGTTTATAGGGAGGCGTATTTCGTACGGATCTAAAATTCTGCGTTTGATATCTGCTATAAAGGACTTTACTTTATTACAATGCCAGAACATATGAACCAGTGTTTCCGGTTCTACTTTACAGAACGTGCAAGTATCTTCGTCTTTTATGTGTATAGTCTTAAGGTAGGTATTCGTTGCTACTATAGTAGCAACGAATTGAAACTGATAATGTTTCAATATAAACTCATAAATCGCATATATGCGATTTATGAGTTTATTGAAACATTATCAGTTTGCTGACTTTGTGGCCTTTTTAAGATTGCAAGGCTATTTTCCTCAAAACCCCCAATATCTCTGATCCACTTGCTTTTTGGCGTTCATTAGCATTCCGTATTTCTAACTGCTTATGTTTTACATTTGCTTCGTACGCTTGACGTGAAAATTTTTCATTGTTTAACACCACGCACATTCTATGTGGCATTATCGGCCCAAGTGTTTCTATTTGTTGGTTTTTTATGTAATCAGGTAAGCTCCTGATTAAGCTCGAATAACATAAAAATGTCATCTTCACGTCGTAAGCATTTTCGAGGCTCTCTTTGGTATGTAAGGTCCCTGTATTTCGTTAAACAAATCATTTATGAGCCGAATTCCTTTTTTGTACCAGCTACGTATTATTGAACATTGGAATTTCGTGTAATCTGAAAACCATATGCTTTCGAAAGTACGTTAGCC